GGCTGCAATCGCTCCTTCTTAATGTGGCCTCTATGGTGCTTCCAATCCGTGGGATCCGAGCCGGGTGTGGCAGCACGCACAGGAGCGGCTCCGACCATGCCAGCCACCTGGGCTCTCTCCCACCTCCGGACTTCTTGACTCTGTCTTGGCGCCAAATTCAGTTGGGGGAGGAAAGAGTGCGGTGGATGCTGCGAAAGTCCCTCGCCACCATAAACTAATTTACGAGCAAGTCACAGTCCCTGCTCCCGCCTGTTGTGGTGCCCAGTGTACATTGTCAACAAAGGTCAAACTTGCCTTGTTTAATTTCCGAGGAAATTAATGCGCGAACTTGGAGTAAATCTTTCGAAACGGGCCTTGAACACTCCATAAAGCGAATTGCCCACGCATATGACGGGTCGTCGAATGAAAAGGCAAAGTCGCATGGCTTAAGTACGGACAAAACAAGGCGGCACGAGAGAACGTCAGAAGGCATCACACTTAAGATTAGGCACGATCCGCCAAATTGGGCGGGAGGAAAAAGTGAAGTGAAAAGATCCATGACTTGATAGTAAACATGAGATAAACACGGGGGGCGAACTTCCTGAAAACAAGTGGGAGGATCGATAACAGCACAGGAGACCATCATTAACGGTGCTACTTCAGCGCAGGTCTAGTGAATGGGGTGAGAAGGTGTTTGGAGAAGGCGCGTACCCTGTCAACTCCCCGTACCTCCTCCTCCAACTGAGGCAACTGAATCACATGCATGTCATCGTACAATTCCAAAATCTGCTCCAGGTACTTAGACTGGATCCGGTGGCGTGCTAGGCACATTCGACAGTCGGAGATTGGTTTGCCCTTCGCTACATCGCCGCCGTCGATAGGAAGATTGGGGAAAAGCAGCTGGTTGACAATAATGTTGTGGATATCGATTTCTTGGGCCGATAGAGCCTAAATCGGACAGCAGATGCATTCTAGGTCTCAGTACCGTAGAAAAACATTGAGATAACCCCCATTTACGGACGAAATAAAGAATGATTATACCAAGAATCACGAGATTTTTAGTATTACCTGGACAAGTCGTTCCGTTTCATACATGCTCAGGAACTCTGCAATGCAAACGCAGACGAAAGTTGTCTGGCTAGGATCCTTGAATTGCCGAGTGATTTCCCGCACAACAGGCAGACGGCTCTCCAGGACCTGGGAAATGTCTTCATTGCCCATGGGGTTTCCGGCGCCAATGAACGACATCATCTGGTTCAGGATAGGGGCAATCTAGGAGAAATAGCAGTCAAGAACACATAAGTCCAAAAAATCCGGGAGCAGGAATTACGAGTGCGTGTACTTCAGAGGTAACTCACAGAACTCTTTAAGCTGATCAGTTTATTTAGCCCGCTCTCCATTAGATCGGGAAAGGACAGTAAACGAAGGGTGTGCCCGGTGGGTGCGGTGTCGAATACTACAACCGAGTAATCCATAGTCCGCACGAGGCGGAAGATCTCTGTGTACGACATATACTCATCGACTCCGGGAAAGGAACTCATAACGTTGGTGAGGGTGCGGCGAAAATCAGCGGACCTGGCGGCTTCATCGGCACCGACAATATCCTCCTCCAGTTCCTCGACATTGAGAGAAGGGTCGATTTCCATGGCATACAGGTTGTTGAAACCCTGGTACAGAGGAAACACAGATTGGCTGATTGAGGAAGACAGTGGTAAGAAAGGCCACGATCGCTTAAAGAGAAAAACCGAGCCGCTAATGTATACGTCGATCATGAACAAGATGCTGTACCATGATATGGGATGAGTTTTTTGTATTAACGAAATTCTGTTTACTTCCATTAAAAAACCGTGCATTTGCGTGTGACAAGAAGTCCGAGGTAATGTGGACCAGTGACCATGTACTGGAAACGACGCTGGAAGTCGCGGGGAGGTAAGTTCACACAGAAGCATATTGCTGACCTCTCGTTATTACATCGGAAATATCTAATACAATGAATCCGACGCAACGAGTTTTTTTTATCAAAGATGCCTGGACCAAAAGCGTGGTGTTTTATAAGGTTAATGTACACATACATTGCCTCCGACCTACTGTCGGGAATAATTCGTTTGCAGTCTCCCGGAAATGCGGAGGAACTTAGGGTCGTTAGTATTCTTAACACTTTCACAGGGAGAGGTGTATTAGCGGTCTGACGTTTCGATTAGTTGTTTCGTCTACCCATCTTTAGAGACTGGGAAGTATTGCGCACAACTCTCCTTTTAAGACGCACTTTGTTTGATGCGCGGCCTGCCAATGGCGCCGCCAATACACCTCTCTCGATGAACGCCTCATTTTATTTTGATTTACCACCTGGGAATCGCACTTTCACTACTATCGATTCTTAACACTCCTCTCACCGTCAGACTATAAGGAGCCACGGCTTACGCCCACCTCTCGCCTCTTTCTTATAACAACTCGCTAAGACAGCAGTCCGTCTGCTATTAGCGACAAGGACAATCAATGCAGGTGAGTGGAATAATAGTGCGGACGACTTTCGCAATAGCTCACCGCAGTCTTCTCATTCCCATAATCTTTCGATGGCAGGACCGAGTCAAGACGACCTGAAACGGGAAGAGCGAAACCCACGCCTACACGTACCACACACCTACAGTCCCTAAAATGCACAAGCCAGACGTGAGTATTCAGGGTCACATACCGTAAGGGGTGCCATAAGAGCCACGTACAGGTACACGCGGTGCATGGATGCGCAGGTGTCAAAGTTGGTCTAAGGTGTGGTGACTGAGGCTTATCAAATTGGCTCTCCAATCAGTTTACGATGGATTCAGAGTTCGACGAGGTCAGTGATGTGCACGTTTGGGGGCAACCACCCCCCGCGCATGTCAGTAATTCAGGTAAACACCGAAGAGATTTGGCAGGGGCAGTTGTGCGTTAGTGGCAAAGAGCGCAGCGACGTAACTATAATAAAGGAGCAGCGTATGGAACCCACGATTCGCACGTTCTACAAACGGCACTCGATGTCGAAATAGCAGACGCCACAAGAGTGGACGAGCCGGCGTAGGTTGCTCGTTGTTGGAAGAGCTACGGTGTCTGGGTGATTATCTATGGTAGTAGCCGCGAATGGGAAACTGTGCATTTTGGCAGCATCCATACTTCGGCGGATTTGAAGGTTATCGATGCGGGGCTAGATAGGTGAGCTGCCCACAAGTCATATTTTGTTGTGTGAAGTGGGCTCGAGTGGTCGTACGGACATTATGATGAATCCGGAAGTGTGTAACAAGATCAATCTGGCTCTGAGCGCAAGCCGATAGTTGCCTTCAAAAATGGTTACCTCCATTTTGATGGCCGGTAACCACGTCTACCAGTCATTTGGAAGAATTTAATCGTCTGTTTAATTTACAGTCGTCTGAGGGCGATCTTTAGAGCTTTCCTGAGGCCTCGTTTGGGTTCATCTTGTCTGCTAGTGTCCGCATCAACGTCTAAACAGGACAGTCGCACGGGTATGCGCACATCAGTCATTCTCACGACGTGGTTGAATCTCCTTCCGAGCTCTAACGCAAGTTTAGTTTGGTGTTGATGGAGGTGCCACGACGACGCCCCAATGAATGCTACAAACTTCCAAAGGGCTGGTTAGTTTTGGAGGACCGGGCCGCAACTTCGTCGTTGTTTACCATGTTCCATAAGATGGTGCTGCACAGGTCTACTAATGAGATCCCATTATAACTTACTACTACCATGGGTTCCATACATTAGGCAGTTGGTCCCAGTTAGCGTACAACAATCTTTCTCTGCATGCTGATGATTTGTCCGAGGTTGGCACACTCGGAGACGAAAAATCCAGACCTCGATGTGTGTCCGCCTTAGTTGTGCTGTTCAGTGCAAGTCGTTGGTGAGGCCGCGCACCTCGGCCTCGGAAATATTTGTGCCGTTATGGGTAGAGTGTTGTCTTGCTCATCGGAGTGCAGGATTCAAGATCTTGCTTTGCTGAGCTTTCCTCGGCGCTGACTACTGACTAGTGCCATAGTGAAGTTATTAGTATCATTACCGTCACTATTATTTCAACTAT